GGGTTGAGGACCGCAGGGGGGAGCTAGGGGTGAGCGAGTGCAGGGGTGATTTTGACGAACGGTGACCGAGACACCACACACACAAAGAACACACACACACACACACACACACACACACACACACACACACATCAGGACGGACGAAGCCGGCATACGGCAGATCCAGCAACACAAAGCAGGTCCTGGGGCGCGTGTGTTGCTGCTCGCGGTGCACTGCCCCCTGGGCCCTGCGCCTCACCACATGCCGACCATGCCAGGGGGGCGGCCCTGGGAGTCCACGAGGCGCCACAGCTCATTGCGGCCCAGGGCCTCCTGCGGTTTGGGGGGGGGGGTTGTGTGTGAGTGTGTGTGATTGTGTGTGTGTGTGTGTGTGTGTGTGTGTGTGTGTGTGTGTGTGTGCGTGCCATCGCGCACGGGCACGAAGGCGATGAAAGTGTAACAACAGCGCACGGAAGGGTGGGAAGGTAAAGACGGGTTGAAGGGCCGGGGGTGGCCCTGCGGCGCGCAGCCAGCCTGGAAGGGCTGGCGCCGAGCTGTTTGCGAGGCGGGACCCCGTGCCACAGGCGTGAGGCTGCGGCCTGTGCGAGACCGGCCAGCAGGCAAAAACCCCCTGCACGTCCCATACCCGTGCGTGCGACGCGGCCTCGGCAGGGGGCCCCGGTCAGCAACCCCCCATGTTTCAATGGGCCCCAGTCATGTCGGCCCGGCCACCCTCCACCCCCACCCTCGAGCCCCATGCCCAAGCCGCCCCACCTGCAGGATGCCCTTGGTTGTGAAGTCAAAGGCGGCGGCCGTGCCCCCGGTCTGGTCGCACCAGTTGATGGTGCGCTGGCGGTGGCCGTCCTTCCGTAGGGGGGGGGTGGGAGGGGCAGGGGGGGGCGCAATGGCACGTTGGCTGCCTGGGACGAGGGGCCGCGCTGCTTTGATGCATAAAGCTGGTGGGGTTGAGGGACATCGATGGGGCTTCGCGCCGGTCGCATCTCACCCAGTGTGTCAGATTGGCCGCCGCAGGCCAGCAATCTGCAATGCTACACTGGCCGCTGGAGCCACCACGCAACTCCCTTCGCAACTCCTCCTTCCCATAGCACCTTAGGGTTTCGGGGTTAATCCCCAAGCGGGCAGGTGATACGGTTCAACTAGGCCCTAGACCCTAGACCCTAGGTGCCCCCCCCCACCTGGTTGTAGTTGAGCACGCCATCGCTGTAGTCGCAGGCGTCCCAGTACTCACCAAACGCCATCTGGGGCACCTGGTGATGTTGGGCGGGGGGGAGCGTGTGGCAGGAGGTGACCAGTGTGTGTGTGTACATGTGAGTGTGAGTGTGAGTGTGAGTGTGAGTGTGTGTGTGTGTGTGTGTGTGTGTGTGTGTGTGTGTGTGTGTGTGTGTGTGTGTGTGAGTGTTTATGCATGTGTGTGCACGCAGGGATGCTCGAGAGGGGAGGTGAGAGCAAAGAGTGTTAAACTGTTGCATGCGTGGCGCGCAGTCGTCTGGGAGGCGCCGCTGCACGGGAGGAAGCTGAGAGGGGTGCGGCGCAAACCTGAATGCCCCTGGCGGCACATGTCCAATCCAACTCACATCCTTTTTCGACTCCCCGACAAGCTACCCCGACATTCCCCCCTACATGTACACACCCACCCACGCACCGTGGCGTCGATGTATGTCTTGACGAACTGGCCCCCATAGCCGCGCACAAAGTCAAAGCGCCAGCCGTCGTAGCCGATGTTCTTGAGGTACTTGAGCCACTCGATGACGTCATTGCGGATGCGCTCCTAAGGTGGGGGAGGCGGAGGGGGTGATCTAAGGTTGCGGGCTCCCCGGTGTTGTTGGAGGGGCATGAGCAGGGCGGGGTGCATGGAGCCGCAGAGAGCGGTGCGGGGCCGGCGCGGGGCCTGCACAGATCGCGCCAAAGGCTGTGGGCTGTCAACGCTGTGCCGACAAGGCACCAGAGCATGTGAAAGAGGAGGTCGAGGGCGATCCCCGTCTTCCTGGCTCCTGGTCTATTGGCGACCCGTCCTGCCCATGGCCCCACCCCCCTCTCAGCAGATTTGACTGTGAACATGTCTAGAAGAGTGAAAGCCGCACCATAGCTTTCAACAGCCGCACCTGTGTGTGGTCAATGTTTGGGGCCGCGGGGTAGTCGTCCCCGGTCTTGTGGCTGCCGCGCCCACCAAAGGCTGGGGGTGGGAGGGGGTTGAGGAGGAGGAGCGGGGAGAGCAACAGGTGTTGGTGTGTACACGAGGTGCGCCTCTTGTAGGAGAGCGTGGGGC